CCCCCCCCTCCACCCCGCGATAGATGATGACACGTCGGTGGTCGACGATGCGCAGCCGTCGCCTCCTCCGGGAGTTGTGCCGGCCAGCCCGACGGACGGCGCTGCCCCGGAAGATGTGCCAGCCCTGGCGTCTCGGCCCACGGTCTCCTTTGCGCCGGATCTGGTCGCCACGGAGTTCCTTGACGTGTCGCTGGAGGAAACCTGCAAGCCGGAGAAGCCCGGCTTCCTGAGTGTTGTCACGGATCCGATCATCTCCTTCATTCAGAGGGCCTCTTCTCCCAATGAGCTGGATTCCCTTGGCCATGACTACTATCTGGCCATGTTCTTCGCTGACATCCTGGTCTTCCTGTTGACGATCTTCTTCTTCGGCGATTTCTCCACGTCGATGGACTCGGACATCGAGACGGTACGTCCCCTGTTCTCTCTGTGTCTTTCTCTTAGTGTCTCCGGGTTTCCTTTCGCTCTCTGTGTTTCTTTTCCCTCTTTATTTCCCTCTTCCCTCTTTGTTTCCCTTTTCCCTCTTTGTTTCCCTTTTCCCTCTTTATTTCCCTTTCTCCTCTTTGTTTTTTTCTCCCCCCCTCTCCCCCCCTCTCTCTCCATCTCCTCCCCCCGCATCCTCGCGTTTACTCACTCCCCTCCCCCTCCAAACGCAGATCCTCTCCCAGAATACGGTCCCCACCTTCTTCCTGGTCATCGCCATCACCGAGTTCATCCTGATCATCTTCGACCGCATGATTTACGCCGCCAAGGCCTCGCCCCTGAAGCTTCTGATGCAGCTGTTCACCGTCATCGCATACCACTTGTGGATCTTCTTCGTGCTGCCGGCTGCCAAGCAGTCCTACTTCCACAAGATCGGCATCCTGCCGGTGTGGTACCTGTTCAAGTGCTTCTACTGGTATTCGAGTGCCTGCCAGCTGCGGGACGGCTACAAGCGCATGGACATCGGGCTGATGTTCCTGACCCAGTACCATGGCGTGGTGGCCCGCTACACCTACATGGGCTACCGAATGATCCCCTTCGTCTTCGAGTTGCGCTGCCTGCTGGATTGGTCGGTCAAGAAGACCACGCTGGACTTCTTCCAGTGGGTCAAGCTGGAGGACTTGTACTCCACCAACTACGACATCAAGTGCTTCCGTGAGATGCAGAAGCGTCGTAACCGCAAGGTCGGCGACCCGTATCCCAACTACCTGCAGCTGCCCATGGGATGGGGCTTCATCATTGGGATTGTCCTGCTGCTGTGGTTCCCGCTGATCTTGATTTCCCTGCCCGGCGCCACGGTCACCAACAACCCGAACCAGGTGTCCATCTCGGTCCGTCTGAATAACTTCGACGACTTCTACACCCAGGCCACCGGTGCCGAGGATGACATTTCCCTCTTCACCCCCGGGGATTTGGATGATTTCTACAAGAAGTACCCGACCCTGGTGGGCAGTTCCACCCTGACGTACGCCAACTATGCGTTGGTCCGGTTTGAGCCGGACTCGCGGACCACTTGGATGATCCCGCCTCCAAGCCGAGCGGCCATGGCCGAGCAGCTGCTCCTGCGCCCGGACGAGAACTACCTGACTGTGACCATCCAGATGAACCGGCCCTCGGCCTATGCTTCCAAGGCGTCTGGGTCCTTCGTGCGGACCCTGTCGGCGGAGGAGTCCCAAAACCTGGGCATCCTCATGACCACCACCACATGCATCCACATTCAATCGCTCATGCCGTATGTCATTCGCGCGGTGCCGAACGGCGACATCCGGTCCTACGCGGCCACTTCGCGCAGCGGCACGCAAACCGGCCAGCCGCCCGTCATCGACATCGACTTGCACCATGCCGCCGGGCGGATCATCTACTCCGACACCGACTCCACCTATGTCGATTGGTTCTCCCTGCGTGGGCTGCTGGAGGATGGGGATCGCAATCCCCAGTGTCTGAAGCCCACTCCGCCGGCGCCGCGCCTGGTCAACCTCATGATGGCGGCCGGCTTCGGCCCGGTGGCCGACCGGCCGATGGACGTCAGCCCCACCGCCGGCATCCAGTGCGCCGGCGGGAGCCCCTTCGTTTCGAGCGTCAGCAATGAGACTGACAGCGGCGAGGCGGCGGCCGCCGCGGCCGCCTGCTGGCTGGCCCGGCCGGACCTCGGCATCTTGTCCACCCCCTTCGGTGCCGGGGCCAATCCCATCGGCCCGGCCCTGGCCGCCGGCATGGAGGCATCTTCGGGGGCCGACATTTCCATCAATGACTTCGAGGGCATGGAGTTCGTGGTGGTCAGTGACAATGTCGCTGCCAACCCCTCCATCGGAAGCTATGGCATCATCGGTCTTTGTGCGTGTGCTGCGCCTCCTGCCTCTCCTCCTCGCCGCCCTTCTTCCCCTTTTCCTTGGCCATCCTGCCGATATCGCCCTTTCCTTCGCCCCCTTGCCCAGCTCCGGTTCTATTTCGTGTGTGCGGTCACTGTGCCGCCTGCGCTACTCGTCGCTGACATTGCCTGCTCCCCCGGTTCCTGCTTCCCCTCGCCCGCAGACGTCCTTGTTGTCTACACCGTCGGCAACATCCTGCGTGTGACGCTGACCGGCGCCGCGCAAAAGATCATGTTCGAGGACCTGCCCAATGTCGACAAGATCCTGGAGATGATTCACGTGCGTGTCGTCCTGCCCTGCCCTGCCCTGCCCTGCCCTGCCACGCGCCGCCACCTGATGCCTCTGTTCCTCCACCGTCTGGCGCCTTG